TACATATTAGGCACTGAGCTTAATTGGAACCGTACAATGAAATGTGTGTCTAATTGGAATCATTCCGTTCAAATTGCACGGCTTTTCAACGTTTTAGTAAAACCTATTTTCTACAACATTCCATAGGATATTGTAGAAAATACTTCGCAGAAATTAATTCCCTAACTATTCTGTACACAATGAGCCCTTAAGTGTTGTAAGTATAACTTGACAAGTTTTGATCCTACAAATCTCGAAATAGTGGCATTCGACGGGGCTCATTCTCTTGATTATGATGATATAAAAACTTCTTAGTTTATCTTACAAAGTCTTTTAAAAAATAGGTTTACTAAAACGTTGCAAACCCGCGTAATTCGAACGGGACGGTTTCAGTTAGACACACGTTTCGGTATGGTTCTAATTAGGCACAGAGCGTAATTGGAACCAAAACAATCCTCTCCTTAATAAATCTCTCTGAAATCTGTCTCCGATGGGAACTTCGGAATAATTTTTAGATCATTAAATAGCCAAGGCTTTCAGCTACAAAAGCCCCCAAAATCGGTGAAAATCAATTCAAACCCCACTGAGATACTAAAGTTACAAGTTAGACAAATCTAGTTTCGGTTCCAATTAGACACTTTACTCTATCGCGTAGTATGATTAATAGACGAAAGGTTTTTTCTTCGTGCACATTATTGCTTATTCTATAATAGAATATGTAAGTATTAAACAAACTTTTAATACACTTGATTTACTTAATTCAATGAAAAACATGTGATAAATATTTGATCTAATTGTACACGGAAGACAATGAAGAAGATAAAGCAGGCAATTCCAGCATCTTGAAGATATAAGTGGACAATACGTAGTATTTTTGATATTGCATCGATCGTCATTGCTGGACGATATTTTTCCAATTCTCCAGAGGTTCTATTTACCTTTCTCCATTCTTCAAAATTAATATGCGATAATGCTGGAGGGATGTCAAATGATTACAAATGCCAAAGAAAAAAGCGAGGAATAAAGCCTTTGAGAATGAAAGCAAATAGAAAAATATGTGTGTTCATCTCTCAAATATGTGCATGTATTATCGCACATCTGAGTACTTTCATTGTGCGATTTCAGTGTTGCGGAAAAAAAAAGGTTTCATTCATTTCAAAAGGTCAACACAGCATCTTTTCAAAACTGAAATTCTTAATGGGCAGTATACTGCTATAGCATCTTTCTCATCGGCACGCGTTTATACCGATACTCACCTGACTCGATATTTATACTGATTTTTCCTTTTCAGAAAGATTATAGCAAGATCAAAAGCATTGTCTGCTCGTATTCAGATTTGGACTTCATGTTAAATTCGTACTCGTAACGAGATGAAAAGAGGCTTCCGTGCATTTTGTGCAAAAGCGCACCTTTTACACTAGCAACGAGTTTAAATGAGTGTTATGTTCTAATATTGTATATGGGAGATTGTTTTGAACTTGCACGAGTTTAAAAACTTGGTGCTGGTGGTAACGAGTTCAAAACAGCTTCCCAGTCTAAAAGAAGTATTTAGTATTTTTCATCTCGTGAGTGATAGACTGCCACCCGTGAAAATTTGATTGCACTATGTTCTCGAAGAAAAGTCCGAGTAAAACATAGTGCAATCGTAGATAACAAACAGTGACTGGGAAAATGTCGAACTAGCACGTACCGATGCAACATAGCATGCCATCCGCACTGGTAGTGTCGGACTTTTTTAATACTATACTGGGATTTTTCTGTATGGAATTCGATCATGTTTCTCATAAGAATACAAGAATCTTATGAGAATAACGTACGAGTTTTGCTGACTCTTACCAATTTTTTATGAATTTTTGTGAGATTCTTATAAGATTCAGCAGAATTCTTGTCACTTTCGTGGAAGATCTTATATTAGAATTGAGTAAGATCCTTATAAGATTCTTATATAAGAAGCGATGACTAGGGTTAACAGTGCAATGACTTTTACGCGCATTCGTTTCTAACAGAATTTCTCTATGAAACAAACACTGCATTTTTTAATGCTTTGTCTCTTGTGAATAACATTTCAGCTCTTTTCTGCCTTATTTTCAAGAAGAAATGTTCTTTATATTGTTCTTTCATTTACATTCTCAATAATTTCACAACGTATACGAACAGAAAAAAAGAGAAACAGAATCGTGTAACTGAAAACGTGTAACAATGATCGACTCTTTCTGTTTACATCGTTGAATACCGCAGTTTAACATTCAAAACATGCATAAAATTCTGAACTTTGTGCTTTATACGTTTGATACATACAAATTACAGTGAGAAAAAGATAACCGCTGAATGACCCTCAATATAATAATGTTCTTCGAATAGCATTCTGCAGTAAACTTCGCTACTTCATACGCCAGTTTTATTTTATATTAAGTTTTAGAATAGACGACATGGTAACCAGAATTTTTTTTTTCTTTTTCTGGCATTTTTAACGGTTAAAATATCAAAGGAAATACAAGAATCAAAGTTCTTTTCATCATTTTTAGCTGTTGAAGAGTACTCGACCGAACAGCGGATCGTCTAGTTTTCTACGTTACATTCAGTGGGGAACAACGTGGACAATTGGGCAAAAACTGATAGTGAGATTTTTCAAGATTTGAATAGCGGATTATATACATTAACTTATGGCCTATTTATCGATGAAAAAGTTTGGCGGTTATTATCGACAATCGTAGAGAAACGTTGGTCACAAAGGTCTGTAGTTTTAATACCACTTTACCAAAAACCGATTTTTTCCCAATAAGAACGTAATTGATGAGAAATAAGACCTATATATTCCGAAAGCTTGAGTTCTGAGCTATCGATTCATAAGAAAATTTTGACTTTAAGTTATTCCTGTGAGGAAACAGTAGTGTTCTTTTACCGCTAAGTGAGTGTTCTCACGGTGTCTTCAGTATAGTTTATCCCCCATTTTGCCCCAAGCTCCAAATTAAATGAAACTATTAGGAAATGTTCGTCAATATGTGACAAGGTTGTAGAATCAGCCCAAACTTGCCCAAACACTTCTTCATGGAAATACATTTTTTCAAAAAGCCGGATTTTCAAGAGGTTTTACGCGATTTTCTCACTTTCAAAGCAGTTTTTCGCTAAACTAACGACACATTTGGAGTCAACATGAAAAAATGCATCTAAAGATGTGTATTTGAGGTATTTCTGAATAAAAAATGTTTCGATTTAGTGTAATGTGACGGTTTCGGCGTACTGGCATAGCAATTGTGACTTTGCACGTGGACATGTGCTAGAAAAGCGGTACGACAGTCTGTAAGCACTGTTTTTATAGGTTTTCGTATACGCTATTTTCAATGACGCAATCTTCAAGCTTTCAAAGTAGATTTGTGTCGATTTTCCAGAGATCCGGTCTCTGAAAAACCAGTTCGAGCATACTTCGGAAGTTTTAAGAGGGCGCCATTGAAAAGAGCGTATTGATTGAAAACTTTCGTAGTTCTTTTTTAGCACATGTCCACATGCCTAGCCAAAATTCCCCACTGTGTTACAATAGTTTTCTAAGTCGTCACAAGTCGATGTTTCCAAGTCGATATTTGACAAAAAAGCAGGTTGCCTTAAGAAAAAAATTTTCTTCCTTCATGGTCTTATTATTACTCACATTTTGTAAAACTTCTCCTGAACAGTAATTTATCTAGCGGACGCATTGGATGAGTGGCGTTCTATCGGTTTTCCAGTTTGCCATGTTGGAAATTAATAATCACTTCGGGAAAGAAAAATAACATTTCAGACAGTACCCAAGTCAAACAATTCTACTTGTATCCTACAAGATTCTTATAAGATCCTCTAGTCAGATCTTGTACAATCTTGTAAGATCCTACACGATTCTATTACAGGACTGCAGTAGGAGTTTGTCTTATTTTCTGCTGGTTTAGCCTAATGCGCCGCTAAGTCGAAACGATGGCACTATTAGTTTTTCCAGCTTATTTATACATCATTCAATAGAGAGCATTTCGAACTGATAAAGAATAATTTATTTATGGTTTAAGGTGAATAATTTAAATATACACATAAGTTGGATAAAATGATGAAAAGGACCTTCATTCTTCTATTTCCTTTGACATTTTAAGGGTTAAAAAAAGTAAGAAGAATAGAAACCTTAAAAAATCAAAAAATTTCTGGTTTCTGTTTCTTCTATTCTGAAACTTGTTTGTTCCGTTCTCTACACATGTCCGCAATTTCTTCTCTACTATACGTTGGAATAGCTTTTGTAACCATTTGGCTGCTTATGTCTTTTGAATAAAGGCGAAACGTCTCAAGAGAATAAGCGTATTTTCAAAATAAAAAAGGTGGTTTTCATCTTATTATTAGAACAAATTTTTGAAGTTCTTCATACGGCGCACTACTTCAACTACGTATTTTCCATTACACTAAATTTGTGCAAAAGGAAAGTACGAGTTATGATGATACATTCGTATAAAGGCCGTACATTTACATTTAAATAGTCTTTATATATTGTTGTAGATCATCGAATAGTCTAACATATAATAACTACGATTCTGGGATTTATTATTGATGATGCACTAAGATGGAAAGAACAGATATTGTAACCAACTATAAATGTATACCGGTTCCAGTATGTATATTAATTATTCTTTTTATTCTATCGTTTACCATGATTATCGTAATATCACCTGGTAGTAGGAATAGATTGTAGGGTGCAATGCAAATTCTGGCGGTTACATCTTCGAAAGAAGCTCTGACTAATAGAAATATGTCGATTATAACTAATCTTTATCAGAATACCACATCATCTTCGATTGCCATAAAGTATTTTCAGGAAAGTAAACGTTACTCGAAATTTCGCTGTACTGGACACGAAAATAACATTGACTCATGGATACAGCGCCTGTGCGTGTTTAATCATATTTGCTATAATACGAATCTTCAACGTTATGAATATTTCCGGCGTGCTGACCGAAAGAAACCCGTGTTCTTCGACTCTGGAAAAGGAATGCTGACAGATTTTGGACAAAAATTTTTGTCACTTTCTATCATTGGAGGTTCACCATGGGCACCATTTGTTGTTGATGAAGCGTTGCCGACTGCAAATATTACATTACTCAATAGATTACACACACTGTGGCAGAATTACTTCCCAAATAATGTAGGTCATTTGTTATGGGAAGAATTCGGAACGATCCATTATTCCATGGAACGAATGAATGAGCTTGATACTCGTTCAGTTGTTATGCATTGGAGTCCGATTTCAAAAGATCCTTTGTATCTTAAGTACCAAGACCACCTGCTGTCAGCTATAACACCAGAAAAAATGGTTGAATCGAAGCCATATATTAATAGTTTCAATACACGTTATGTCTGCTTTGATAGGCTGATGGCCGGAGGCATGCTTCGGTTTTTTGATCCATCATTATATGACAAGAATCAGGGGCGGGAAACTTTAATATACAATTGGAGATCAAAGCTTATTAAACATCATGGATTCGATCCTGACTTCGTACCCACCAAACATCATATAATATTAACAAATAAATCACACTCACTTAATGCCAAATCAAACTCAATAGGACATCGAGCTATTGCTAATATGCAAGCCATCGAAGAATTTATTCGCAAAACTTATCCAACGATCTCGTTTGAAGTGGTCGAATGGCACAAAATACCATTTCCGAAACAAATCGAAATGCTCATTCACACAACTATCCTCATTACGCCTTCAGGAGGAGTATCGACCAGAGCACCTTTTCTTCCACGAGGAGCTCATGCTATCATAATG